TTTGTAGGGCAACATCTCTTTTTGGCTTCAGAATATTGTGCACCAAGCGTGGCTAGCTGGGAAATCTGGGACTGAACACCAGGCTGACCTGGACGAAGGTCTCTGGAAGATATTTGGGGTGTTATGTGGCAGCCAGGAGAGCCTTTATCAAGAGGCACAATTGCCAATCCAGCACTGTGACCTCCCTTGATTTGTGAATCAATCCCTGCCAGGAGCTTGCTCCATCTACAGGGCTGCAGTAGTCTGACATGGGTCTAAATCCAGGGAAATCTGCTAACCAGAATCCTCTCAGTTCAGGACAATCGTAGTTCAGATTTCTTTGTTTCCTCTTTCAGTTTTTAGCAAGAACCTGTTTACAATTATTAAAGCAGAGTGTTGATAAAAATGTTCAGCTGTAGGTATCTAAGCTAGTCAGTAATACTGAGAGCTCATTGTTAAGAGCTGAAGAAAGCTCTCTACTGTATTGCAGGGAATAAAATGGCAGATGTAATTCAAAGACGATAAAGGCAAAGCAATGAGGAAAATGTCCCTAAGAGACCACAGAATGATGGGCTCCAAACTGGCCACTGCCTCTCGAGGAGGATAGCCTGGAGTCACAGCATGTGGTTCAGTGAAAATGTTGGACATCTGCCATAGGAAAAGCTGATGGAATGCCAGGAATTATTAGGAAAAAAATAGGGGACTAAGCAGGAAACATTTCCCCTTAGACAAATTGTGTTGCATCAGCATCTGGAAAAGTAGTGGAAAGGACAGCAAGGACATCTAACACATAGAACAACAAAGGGACAAAATACATGTGTCAAATGGTTACTCAGCAAGATTCAACACCTTTCAATGTTTATAAACTCTGTCAGAGTATCCAAATCTCTTAGATGCTCAGGTGTTAGGAGCTACTATGAGTTGCATTTGTTACTAATCCTGCATGTAATGGTATTGCAATATTTTCTTTTGAATTGGTAGTCCCTCACTCATTTGATGAGATGTGGATGTCTACCTCTGACATCTCTTTGTAGTTGGAAAACAGAAATCAGCACTTCTGGGAAACAATCCGTCTCATTCAAATGTAGATGTCTAAAATACATCAGATGATAAATTGCATCTGAATAGAGTTTACCTCCCGTCATCATCTACAAAAGGAGTCTAGATTTTAGTGTCCAGAGTCTAGTGCAGATTTCTCATGCTAGATGAGACAACTCGCACCACGAATGCCACTTTTGCCATCGTCATCAGAGTTGATTACTGCAGGACATCTGGCTACAATTCATGTTTGGGTGAGATTAGTTTGCCCTTAACGTATGTGTACTAAATTAAAAGGTCTATAACTGACTTGTGTAAGGCTCCAGTTCTGCTGGAAGCACCCCTGCAAGCATCTCTGAGAGGGCAAGTTAGCTCATCGTGAAAGACACTCTGGAGATTTTTTCAAATGCCAAAGTATGGTGAGATAAATAAATGCAAAATAAAAAGAAAGTGATACTTATGGTGCTTAGTGCTAGGACATAAGATGGGAACTCTATACTACTCAGTTAAAAAAAAGTGCTGTAACCAGGTTTTATTTACTAAAATTGAGTTTTGCATAACCTGATATCATATCGCCGCTTTCAAAAGTGTGGTACCTGAAGTGAACTTTAAGGCTGATAATCATCCAGCTAGCTGCAATTTCCAGGTATTAGTACGCTACTTAGAGTTCAAAGTTTATTTGTTTTCTTAGTCTTCTATGGCCCTGTGGTATCTAGCACATTTTTCTCTCCCTGGATGTGTTGCGTAGCACGTATTTTTGAGGTAGATTCAGGCTGAGATCGTAATTATCCTACATACTTGTGGTCTGGTCTGGTATTATCCATCACAACACTGTCATGTGCTGGGCATTGACAACATACTTAGGAAGCTATTTTTTATGTGATATAACTAGCATGGTGGGTAGTTTTCTTGTAGCATTAAGGAAAAGTTGCCAACGCTTTCAGCACAAGAGTTCCCCGAAGTTTGTTTATATGGTGGGGGGCTGCCTCGTGCAGGCAAGGAGTCTGAACTGCATGTTCTTTACAGGTCCTTCTTCGCTGCATGGGAAGAGTAAGTTGAAGTAAATGATCTGCAGAATATCACAGCATTACAAAATAATAGCACAGTCTAATCCTTTCACCTCATTTCAGCTTCCCATTCCAGTCCTCGGTCACGGTTTACAAGACACGGAACTCTAAGGTCCACTTGCAACTTCAGCTCCCTGGTGTCAGCCACAGCATCCCACCTTCAGACTCTCACTTCCCTTAGCAAACGTAGGAGAGTGCTCTCGTGTTTGGCGAAATACTGGCTATTCTCAGTTGTCGCTCCTCTTAACTGCTGCTTTCTAAATCGCCTCAGTCCTGTGGCAGCTTATTTGTGCTCAGCAGCGCCGCGTGGGACACCTGCTCTGCCTTTGGTTTCCTTCCCCAGGCTGCGACTCCCTTGCTTGATTCTCTTTCAGACAAATATGCCACGGTGCTTGGAGATTACTTGATTTCTGCACTTAAAAGGGCTTCTATAGCATTATAATGGTGACCCGCTGGTTGCCTGTAAGATAATGCTTTTCTCAGCTGCTTGTGCTGAGCACATTGTTTGTGTTGTCCAAAAAGTCCCACCCGGTGGAGTGCAAAGAGCAGACAGTGACAAAGCTGACTATTCATGCTTGTTACATCCCTAAAGTCACCGGTGGAAAACATTAAATCGAGAGGATTCAAGTAAAACAGTTGAAAATGGAAGGGGGTGGTGGTGTAAAAAGGCACTAAATAAAGGGGGCCAAGCAGAGCAGCAGGGTGTATGGACAGTTGATTAAAAGCTTATCCACCACGTTTTTGCCTGTTCCAATTTCAGAACTGGGAAATTTCCTTACAGATTCAAAGATCCAAATTCTTTACCTGTGAAATCCCAGTTTCCGTACCTGATGGAGGAAAGAGGGTAGCAGTCGTTAGTACTTTGCTAGTCTCATCAGTGACCTGCAAAAGTTATTCTGTTCTGTGAAGGAGCTACAGGCTCTGCAGGGTCAGGTCTATAAAACCCCTAAAGTCTGTATCTGTCCCCATTTTTTCTTACATGTTTTCATGTTTGTTTTTTTTTTCTTGTAACCCCCTGTTAGTTTTTTGTTTGTTTCTTTCTTTTTTTAAGGCTTGCCATTACAGATTTCAAACCCTAGGTACTCTCTGGAAGACCCCATTTCCTAGGCATGTATTTTAGGCTGGGTGGGATTAATCACTCTTTAGAGCAAGACTTTGTTACATGACGTAGACACGCATGCCCATCTCCTCCAGCCGCCCTGGCCCAGCTCTTCAATTAGTGTGAGTGGTGAGGTTTGTTTCTTGTCATGGACTCCATGTTTGCTTTGTCAGGCCTGTGTCTCTCTGTATTTTGTTTCCAGTTTCCCCTCTTTTTCCCCTAGTTTCCCAATTGACAAGGTCCCTGATCAGACAACCTCACTGGAATAGACATTCTCATACTCCCAAGTGCCCTCATCGGAGAGTGTGACTGACGAGGTTTGGTTCCCATCACCACCTCCCTTATCATTTGCATTGAGTTTGTGTCCCTGTATGTTCTTGTTCACGCTTCCTCCTTTGCTTTTATCCCTTGTTGCACTGAAAACAGTCCCTGACCAGATACCCTTACAGGAGCAGGCACTCTCCTGCCACGCACCCTTACCCGTGTCTGTCTCTAGAGGCAGCCTAGGTGGTTCTTACACTCCAGACACCAAACTTTCAGATAGCTGAAGTTTGGATGAATCCCCAACCCTGCATGTATAAAGTACTTCTTTTATTAGATTCTTATGCTACTAAAGGCTCCTTTCATTGGGAATAACATCAGCCATTTCTGGAGCTAGTCGTATTAGTGACTACTTTGGGGCCTGACCTTTAGAAGAGATAACAGTTATTTTTGAACCTAGCCAGATGCTGCTGAGCTCTCTGTGGGAAAGAGAGGTACAGTGGTTATGAGTTAACTTCTTCTTGCTTTGGTTATGTGGATTGAATGAACAAGGTATAGTTTCCAGGGCTTCAGAGCAACGGGCATGGATGTTTCTCTGCTTTCTTATCTAGAGTCTGTAAACCTGGAGATCATGACCCCAAAAACTTCTGGGCTGAAAATGTCCACTCAGCTGGTGTGCCATAAGATTTCACAGCCTGTGTTGATCTCCTTTTTAACTATCATCAAATGTCTCTTGTTATTGCTTGTTACAGTTTGGGGATAGATACATATTTCTTCTTGTGCTCTAGCAGGACATATGTTGGCTGTTTTCCCCCCTGCTTTCTTAAAAGTAAATTTTGAAAGTTTGTATATGGGATGCAAGGTAACCATTCAGGTTCTCCCAAGAATAGTTCTGCTCCTAGTCCTTGAGAAGCAAACTTGAAGAAGATACTGCATTTCCAGACCTGATGCAGAGTCAACATACTGCGATCTCGAGCTTTGCCTTCTGAGCAGTGGAAGGAAAGCAGATCAATGCAGGGAGCTTGGAGCATGCAAAACTAGACAACACTGCAGTGTTATGACTAATGGTGCCATGTAAAATCTGCAGTTTGTGATGAATGGTAAATTCTAGTGTATTATCATTTGTTTTTCTGAGCTGGTGACCTTGTTTACTCGATGGTCTCCCTGCAGGCAGGGCACTTCCTCCAGAAGTGATCCATGTGATCAGGATGTATCACTGCAGAAGAAGCCCAGAACCATCCTGGGTTTTGGGGCTCTGTTTTCAGGAAAGCTGGTATTTCTGCACTTGGACACTGTACTTTTTGTATGTGTGTTTTAGGGGTTACTAAGCTGTTGAAGTAGTCTTCAGCAAAATAGCTTTTCTAGAGGCAATGCATAGATTTCAGTGAATGACCACCAGGACTGCTGACTCACGCTCTCTTGACTTTGTGGTTTGTGGAGGTATCTTGGAAAACTTGATTCTGAAATGTCTGGCAAAGCTGCATGAATTTATTGGCATATTTGGTTGCTGTGGTTTGTTTTGGTTTTTTTTTCCCCCCCTACATACAGACCCTAATATGGTCAATGCAGGAGACATGAATGGTTCTGGCAACCTGATGGATTTTCTGGATGAACCTTTCCCTGATGTCGGGACTTACGAAGATTTCCACACCATCGACTGGCTGAGGGAGAAATCACGTGACACTGACCGCCATAGAAAGGTAAAGGTGTCCAGATTTGATGCATCATGGTCCCTGGGTTACAGCCATCCTGGTGGTGAGAAAAACAAGCAGTTTTCTGAAGTTATTGCTTCCTACCTTGTTGTATGACTTGAGGGGGGCTTCTAAAAATATGGGTGTGGTGTGTCTTGAGTTTGTAAATATGAAAGGGTTTCTGGAAACTTAATCAGCAGAGTATCTCTAAAAAATGAGTGGGATTAGGAGGAGTAGAGAGTAGAGAAATTGTATAAAACTTCTAGGAGGTTTTAAACATTACATACTAAAACTGTGTCAGCCTGAATCGGCAACATGTTTATATATATGTTTAATTTCAGATTACAAGCAAAAGTAAGGAATCCATATGGGAGTTCATCAAGAGTTTGCTAGATGCCTGGTCAGGATGGGTTGTAATGCTTCTTATAGGACTACTGGCAGGTACGTGTGTGCTAGCCTTACAGTTATGCCCGAAACCATCTCACCCAAGTTTGCTGCGGTGCCATCTGCTTCTCTTTTTACTTCATAGTCTCTCCCCTGATGTTTCAAGCTAAAAAGATAGCTATGCATCCATGCAGTTATAATCCTTAATAAAAATACCCACTCACAAAGTCTCCTGCTGAGTGCTGACCTAGAAAAAATGTTATTCACCAGTAGAGGGATTTTTCTATTGCTTTTGGAAATAGGCATCTGGGTGCTTTACACTCAACAGGCTACCTTGACTTTCTGAATCTTTGTTTCACAGAAGTTAATTTTATTGGTAGGATTTTTTTTTTCCTTGTCTTCACTTACTTTTGCAAGTAGATGTTATGATGTGGGGAAAATGTTGGTTGTGGACACTCAAAGGGGAGCTTTGTAAATTGCTACATCCACTGGGTTATCTTCTTTATATATGCATGAAGAGAAAACACAGTTTCAGACTCAGTTTCAGATCTGCTTCCAGGTCAGAGACAGACATTACAAATTTAACAGCCTGCCCAAACTCAGATGGCAAATTCATTAATTTCCCAAATTGCTCCTGTCTTCTGCTCAGTTTAGCACGTCTTCCAACTTGGAAAGCTGTACTTCTCTTACCAAGTTGAAACAGCTGCCTTTTTTTATGCTTTTTCAGTGATGTCAGGGTGCTCTTGTATCATCCTGCTTAGTAAAAGCATGACGTGAAGTTTCACAGTTTCCAAGTGAATTTCCTGCTTACCAACTGTCAAGTTAATATGTTTATTATTACAGTTGTTCAGGAGCCTGAGAAGTACTGGAGAAGTTCTTGAGAAAACATTGCTGAAGTGACTTTTTTGGCAAATTGTGTTATTTTGTAGAGATATACTTGTTTCCACACAAGTTTTGATGTGAGAGTGAGATGGGAAGAGAGTCTGATAGACCGTACTACCAGGGCTGCCGAACCCTGCCTGAAGGCCAGGGTTGCCCTTATCTGGGATGGAGAATTCTGCTTGCAAGTAAAATTAGAGCAAGCCCTGGAGGGTTCTAGTGACCTCCCACAAACTGGTCAGTAATCCCCTCACTCATACAGAGAATGTGGGAAACACTCACGCACTCCCATTTTAGTAAAATTATCCCAGAAGGTTTGTTTCAGTTCCAGTTTGCAATGAAACCTCATGCTGAACTCCTCAAAGTTGTCAAAAGCCAGAGTTACCGACCTCTGATGAGCTCCAATGCTGGTCCGAGCAGCTTGGGAATGGAGGTTGAGGGTAAGCTGGAGCTGAGACATGTTAGCTTTTGCAACCTTTTCAATGACGAGGGTGCAGAACAACATGCTTTACCTTAAAGTCAAATCAAATTAGTCTGTTTTTAAACTGGGACAAGGACTTGTGAGTCAGCTAGAGGACAAAAATTACCTGCATGCTCATGATCTGGGATGAGCCCTGTAGACTTTTTCTGCCTGCTGTTGGAATGACATGTGTGCTCTGTGCCTTCATCTCTTCTGGGACAGGGCAAAGATGGAGAGTCACCATCTCAGCCTCAGCGAGGGGTCAACACCCCTTTGATGAGTGTGTGTGTGTGTGTGTATTATTGATGAGTGCACAAGGTTTCTTAACCGCGTTTGGGGAGGGAGGAGATGAGGTTGGTGGTGCAGTCAAGAGGCACTTCATGTCATTTCCCTCTATACTTGAAATATTGCCTGCTCAGAGAAGACAGCCTGCCACGAGGGCATCTTTGTGATCACACAGGGTTGCATGGACCAGCCTGGCTCCTCCATGGTCCCTCTTCTCCGGCTGAAGAGGGAGAAGCTACTGCTGCTCCAAGGGGAGCAGCCTAGCTCAGCCACACAGACACTGGGTGAGCTCTTGGGCAGCTGGGTCCAGGCATTGCCAGAGGCAAGGAGATGGTGTGGCGAGGAGCCGGAGAGGAAGGGCAGTACCCAGGGCAGTACCCAGGGCATAAGAATCTTGTTGAGCTCCCTGCCCTTGCTGCCTCCTTGCTGGGGATGGAGGGCAGCAAGGTGGGCCTTATGGGGAAGGGGATGGCAGGGGCCTCTACAGGTTTCCAAAGGCGTTTGGACGATTTACGCAGGCCCAGGAGTTTAAAGTGAGCTTAACTGATCTAGAAGCCTAAATCCCAGCAAGTTGGTCAACTGAATCTTTCAATCCTTGCCCTCCAGTGTCCCTGCCATCGGGCCTTGTTGCCCTGTGCATGAGCAGCTGTGAGTCTAGGAACTGACTTGGTGGAAAAAATGGGTTTTGGCCAGATTAGTTTTCAGTTGATCAGTAGGCTCAGTGGGGCTGGTCACCACAGAGCCCCAAGCAATCAAAATATTGCTGATGGGAAGGAGCCGATGGAGAGAGGAAGGAGAGGACCATCCCATTTGGCAGTATGACTCATGTCATTGTTGGAGTGTCATCGAACCTGCATCCTTCATTAGTCCCAGAAAAGCAGAGGTGGGAAGGAAGCTCTGGACGGGGTCTGCTCTGGGTTCCTGCTCACAGCAGGGCTGGCTTCAGAGTTAGAGCTGTATATTTTGAGTAACACCAAAGTATATTAAGAATGTAACAGCAGCCATTTGGGATCACACCAAAGTTTCACGAGAGAGTGTGCACATGTAAATTAGCCTGAGCAGAGCCCCTCGCTGCTGCCACAGTCTGACACAGCGAGCTCCCAGGGTCCTTCAGAGCCGTGTACCCGCAGGGCCTTGAACCCTCAGGTGCTACATGGAGGAAGAAGATGATGTATAACGCTGTCAAGTGGCTGGAAAGGCACTAACGAGCTTCTGGAAATGAGGTCTTGGGAGCCAGAGCCTGCTTATTTTGGGAAGGGGGAAGGAGCAGTAACACCTACGAATGCTCTTTGGTGTGGAGATCAGATGAAAACTGCTTACACGATGCTCCAGAAAAAGATGCTGAGCACTACCTAGGCCTGTCTCAGTCAGAAAGTTTGCACACTTTCTGGAGAAATACAAAGCAATGTATGGGGAAATGAGCCTTAAAATTTTAGATGTAGGTGCTGACTTTTTAGGCACTTGTTTTTAAGGAATTCTGAGTTTTTACTGCGCCCATCCTGCCTGCAGACCAGTGGCTATCCCTTGACCTAACCATTACTACTAGCCAGCTGAAGGTATATGCTGTTAATAGATCAGCAAAAGAGTCTGTGTTTTCTGAAGCTACGTGACAGAAAGTACTATCATACGAATGCTAAAATGCTGTCGTACTGAAGCTGGATTTGCAAAATTCCCCTTTGTAATTCAGTGCCGTGCCACTTGGGTGATGCTGTTTTCTTGCACAGGTGCACCAGGAAAGCTATGTTTTCAAAGCAAATTTTTAGCATTCTCATTAGGAAATTGTAAAGGATGAGTATTGGCCATCATCAATCAAAGGAAAAGGAGAGAGGTGAAAGGCTAATATATAAAATGAAGTTCAGCATTTCCTGGCTTTGGAGTGCTTCATTATTTTTCATTCCAGGCAGGAGGTTACACAGAAGGGGGAACAAGTTCAGTTCCTTTGATGGGAGAAGTAGGGAGATAAACTTACACTCTATTACAATCTAGACAGCCATGGTAAGCACAGGAAATTAAAGGCTTGACTATCATCTGAGATGCTGAAGAGTCTGCAACTTCCATTAATTTCACTTAAAGTTGCAAAGATTCAGAACTTGGAAAACTTCTAGCCCTGGTCATGTGTCTTGTGGAGCATTCACTATTGCACTGTTACCCTGCAAGTGCTGGCCTTCCCCTCTCATGATTTTCTTCTCTATAAAGCATGTGTAGTAAATTGCATGTAGCATTTTTGTCCTTAGGTGGATCCAAAAGTATTTGGCAAAAGGGATTAGATCAGCTGCATAATTCAGCACAATTTCCTAGATGTACTGGGGTGCGAGCTTGTTATATTAGAGAACTGAATGTTTGTTCCTCACACTGTTTATTAACTTTATCGGGGAAAAACATTCAAAAGCCTGCCTTCCTTTGCACCTTCTGCTAGGTAGCATTAATATTCAATTACCTGGTTAAGTGTGATGTGAACTTTGAAGATTGGGGTCCAAGGCATGAGGATTCTTTGTATAGTTTCCTGAAACTTTCAGAAAATTGGAGGAGAATTTAGAGTTCACTGCAAAACTCAGTAAGCTACGCATGCTGACATTACTAGCAATACAGTGATTTATCATCATCTAAGAATATGGTTCATTGTTTCCAGAGAAACTTGGGAAAATGGAAAAGAGTAAGCAAGAAAAAGACAAGGTCTTCCTGAAAGAAAATAATTGGTACAGACATCATTACTCCCTTCTGCAGCCTTTTTTGTGATCTGGTGTAGTATAACTGTATAGTTCTTCAGGTTATTTCTACAGAACAAAAATTCTTCACTGCTACCCTAGTCACGTTGCTTGTCAGTGTGGGGACAAGGACCCTTCAGGGAGTGAGAAGATCTGCTTATGTGGAAGGCTCTGTGAGCACTGGAAGGTTTTTTCTGTTCTATGGAATAAAAAAAAAGGTTACACGCACCTGAATTATTTGAAATGGTTTGGGTTTGTTTTTTTTTTTTCCCCTTTCACAGAAATAAGAAGCAGAAAACTTTACTTCCAGGTCAAATAAACTTGCTTTTGAACCCACCTGTGTGCCCCAGCTGCTGGGGGGGAGGGGAGCAGCCCTCACCCCTGCTTCATGTAATTGCATTCTTAGCAGGACCCACAAAGCTAAAAGTTTTGGAAACATGAAACCAAACTGGTTTGCATTTTCCAAAACATTTTTTCAGTGTTTTAGTCCTACTGAATGCACCGATGAACTATGTTCAAATAATTCATTTCCTGAAATTGTATTAATGAATGCTAGTAAAAATGTTGTCGGCTTCTCTTCTCTTCTGTATGCGAGAGGGGTTTGGAAAACACAGAATGAATTGTCTTTCATTTGGGAGCGAAGGCAGGTCTGCCTTTCTGTGTTCCGGCTGTTCCCAGCCTCCCCGCTCCTGCCGGTGTTGCGTTTGTGAGGACACATCTGCTCTGAGGGTGCTGGGGCAAGTTATCATCGCTGATGAGCAAACGCCCTAGAAAAGCAGGATTTTTTTTCCCTGGGGTCTGGCCACAGCAAGTTTGCCCGTGTCTGTGTCCTGTGGCCACCGGGTGTCACTGTAGCTCTGTGTAATTATTGGGGAAAAACTGAAATAAGGGTCAGTTTGGTACAGTGAGGATTTGAAGGTTAATTTTATTCTGCGCGTTTGGATTGCTAATGAATGTACGCATCAAGAGCCTGATTCTATAAGTTCATAAGTCAGAATGTGGCATCCATGTTGTTTCTGCACTGAAAGCATCCTTCTAAAAGGTTGCTGCATTGGGACCAGTAATACGTATCCTCCTCCTTCCCTACCACTGAAACACAGTGGGGTTTGAGACCTGCAGCTTAGTCTGTGTCTAGAGACCCTGCATGAAGCCTGGCTCACCTCAGTCAAATGGTGCTCCTGCCTGGGACAGACTGCAGGATCGGGCCCTGCATCAGTTATGCCTTCCGTATTTGGCCATCAGTCACTATGAAAATGATAATATTTAAAATAAAAGCTCATGAGAGAGCATTGAAGGTCAGACAACAAGCTAGTATGGCTGTTTCTTTGCAAACCCATTATTGCCCCCAGTTCTTCGGTATATTTGTGCTTACATTGCAGCTGCTTCCCCAAATCATGGGGTTTTTTGCTGTTCTTATAACTAGATACATTTTCCTTGCAATGTGATATTTTTTAACACCATGGTTTCTTTTTCTGCACTTATTTTCCCAGGCACGTTAGCCGGAGTGATAGATTTAGCTGTGGATTGGATGACAGACCTGAAAGAGGGTGTCTGCCTGTTTGCCTTCTGGTACAGCCACGAGCAGTGCTGCTGGACGTCTAATGAAACTACGTTCGATGACAGGGACAAATGTCCCCGGTGGCAGAAATGGTCTGAACTTCTTGTAAGCCAGTCTGAGGTACGGGAGACCTGATTAGGGTTAGGTCACAGCAGGCCATCATACTTGCTGATGTTCCCTCTAGAGAGTTCCTCTGAAAGAGAAAGTAATGAACTGAGAGCGTTGCAAAAAAACCCCCCCAAAACAACAAACCAAACTTGGGAGAGGTCCTATTGTTTCAGTGTCATGTGTGATGGAAATTGGAAAACTGCAAGATCATCCTTTCTTTTTATAAATATTAAAACCAAAAGTGTTTCATAACACTTACAGTCACCAGGGAACCTGAGCTGGTATCCATTTTTTTTTCTTTTAAACACAATTTTATGGCACAAAAAAGATGATCCCTGACAAATACACTTAAAAGGAAATTTTGGGGATTGCAGATGGGTTTTACGTATTCAAATGCTGTGAGTAGTAGTGGGAGCTACACAAGAACTGCTTGTTACACCCTTGCAAGCAGTTTCTCTATCAGATAGCAAAATATTTAGCTAGTGCTGAAAGCTGTGGAAATAATGGGCTCCCTGGGAGATGGCCAAAGTAAAAAAAAATTGCAGGCAGAGAGGGCAGGAATGGAAAAAGCTGGTCTAGACTGATATGAAATTTATATTTTAAGATTTTTTTCCATACTTTTTTTTAAATTGTAGTAATTTTAAATACAAAGAATGCTGTTTCAAAGCAAAGCCAGTGAAAGTTTCATTTTGAAGATAATCAAAAGAAGCCTTTCTATGCTCCTTTTAGTAGATAATTCTTTTTATAAAAATGCAAAAAGGACATTTTATTGTCAGCCTAAGCTATTCAATGTATTGAATAATACTGATCCCTTCACAACGCGAATTTTTGGGCAGAATTATTGTCTTGAATCCTCCCTCTGCCCCATTTCTACAGGTGACTTGAATATGACAAAAATTGAATATGACATGGAGGTAAGATGAATATGACTTTGAAGAGAACTGGCTTAAGTATGTAATGGGACTTCTAAACAAATATCTGGTAATGCAGTTTGGTCAATAATAGGAGAAAATATATACTTCTATGGGATAAATCATCTCCAGCCAAGCAATTAAAAAAACATGAACTGGAGAGGTTGTCTCGGATCTTCCCCCAGTATGGAGGTGGTCTGGTCCTGCAGAAGATGTTTCAGGGCACCTTCATCACCATACAAGTTTGTCATTCATGTTTCTTTCAGTGCCGCTTTAGGTTTACAGTACAGGTAGTACTAGATGAGAGTGTCTGTGAATATGTATAGCCCAATTTTCAATAGAATCATAGAATCATAGAATGGTTTGGGTTGCAAGGGACCTTAAAGGTCATCTAGTTCCACCCCCCCCACCCCCCGCCATGGGCAGGGACACCCTCCACTAGACCACATTGCCCAAAGCCCCATCCAACCTGGCCTTGAACACTTCCAGGGAGGGGGCATCCACAACCTCTCTGGGCAACCTCTTCCAGTGCCTCACCACCCTCACAGTGAAGAATTTCTTTCTAACATCTAATCTAAATCGACCCTCCTTCAGCTTAAACCCATTACCCCTTGTCCTGTCACTACACTCCCTGACAGCCTGATTAGTAGTTCTAATTAATCATAGTGAAAGTAGCGGGGTGCTCACTGTTCCTGAATATTCCCACCATTCAATCACAGGCAAAAATCTCTCTGCACAGTTTCGAGTCCACAGCTTCCCTTTGCCAGAGCTCTTCTAGGTTCTCACTGGTGTTCATCAACAGATGGTTTGGGTGGTTGTGTCTTTGTAACAGTGAAGAAATATTACCCTGGTGTAAAGTTGCATGACTGGGGACGATGTTGTAATTTAAAAGAACAAAAAAATGTGGAAAGGGAAAAAAGAGGAGAATGTTAGAATTGTTATGGGATTTGGAAATCCTGTGCATGTGTTTGACATGCTGTTACTCTGAAAGGCTGGAATACATAAACGGACCATAACCTGGAGAAAATATATTGCTTTCACCTACTACTTGAGATCAGCAATCATGACTGTTGTATGCTGTGGACTTTAAGAAAGGTATCAGCTAGGTGGGCACTGTGAGACTTTACTCACTTTGTATTCACATTTGGCTTCTCGCCCCCTGGTGTACTGTTGCAGTGGAAAAAAGTTAACCTTGGCTTAGTTTTAGGCTCTTTCTCAAAACAAATGCGTCACTAAGATCTGTGGGTTTCTGGCTGCCATGGCCCAACTGATGCTGTAAATTTTAATAATATAGCTGTCTATTACTGTAACATTGAAATCCCAGGAAAAGCCCAATAAAAATGTGAATACAAAAAGTGAAAATTCTGTTTTGTGGCAAAAGGCTTATGATATGGGCAAGTTTTGCATGATTCCTGTAGCTGTAGAGGACTTTAGGAGGGATCATAATACACTGAATTTGACTGCATTTCAGGATAATTTTGCCTTTTTTTTAAATTTGTTGCTTCTCTTTGTGCCTGATATTTGGGTAACAGCCCTATGAAATGCACAGTGCACAGAAGGACTAATCTGGAGCACATTTTAGACAAAAAGTACTTGGAACAATTTCCCTAAAGGTACTCTGGTCAGATGTGTCTTCTTTTTTATGCAGAACTGTGACCCTTTCTCCTCATAGCCAACTAAATTTGACATTTTGAGGACTAAGATTTAGATCAGTTCTTTCTTGTGGTTTTGCCAATTTATGGCTGTGATAAACCCTGTACGTATGTTCTCACTGAGAATTGTGACATTTCCTATGGCATCTCTTGAAAAATGTTTTCATTCTAGTCCTCCTATAAAACGAGTCCAAAGCAGAGTCTTGATATAAATTATTATTGAAAACATAATAGCACATCTGAAAAATATCAGGCTACGTTTTCTTCCCTAATCATTGTTTTGTAGGCCAGTGAGAACCTTCGTCTCTCTGGTCCTGAACTGCTTCCAAAGAGCAGGTGAAGAGTTTTTTGGTGCAAGAGAGTTTCAAAACCTCAAATTCACTGGAGGAATGTGTGTGTTAAAGCTCATCAGATGCCATCCACTTCAGCTAGATCTCTAGCTAGCATCTGGTGACCTGGAGCTTCCCTATTCTGCAGATCCAGGTTGGTCCTAACCTCAACTTCACTGGAACTGAGGACCTCATTTTTGGTGCCTCACATCTATCCAAAGCAGAGGAAAGGGCCCCATGTCTTCCATGGCTCATGACACTGGATCCAGCAATGGACCGGATTCCCATCCCAGGCCTTCTGGATCTCCTGTCATGAAGCTGAGACCAGCAAGGCAAGGAAGCCCCTCTATATCTGGAACACATTTCCCAATTTGTAACGTCTACCGGAGGGAGTCTGCAAGCTGTGAGATCCCAAGTCAACTCAGAGTAGAGCTCCCTGCTTCTGGAGAAAACAAGTATTGGCCAGCCATGGATGGCATCCTGAGTGGTGTGGTTTATTTTAGTATTCTGAGTTTGTAAGAGTTGTTTTCAGTTGTGCTCCATTTGTACCTAAATTGGACTGACACCAGATCTCAAATACTGCTAGGTCTTGCAAACTAAAATACAAAGTTTTGCTCAGTTCCCCTCAATTCTTCATTGCTATTGCTGCCAGGGTGAGTCCTATGAGCCGCTAGTGGAAAAGGTCTTAGCAGAATCGTCTCTGCTGATGGGCAGTTTTGGTTTCTGATTCCAGTGTATACGTGCTTAAGACTTTTTCTGATTCAGAGCCTTAATGAATGAGATGTGTAATGAATGAGAAATGAGCCATTTGCTACACTAAGTTACTAATACTTCACTTCCCAAAGGTTTTCTTATTATTAATCAATTGAAACTCCTGCAATTGGACCTGCAGAACGGCAGATATCTGGAAAATGTAACAGTAACACTTGTCCCAAGAGATAAGACTGAACTGGCCATGTAGACTCTTGTGGGGTCCTGCCACAGTGCTGTAAGTGTATGTGTGATTGCAGTAACGACCTGACTTAGTTTTCATGTGACTTCTGAGATGTGAAAGAAGAGGAAGTAAAAAGAAACAAAGTTAATTTTACTCCAGTGAATTTAGAAGCAAAACTGCAGCTTTTGCTCAACATTGTAAGGCCAAATTGCTGTAATGGTGTTGGTCTCCTTTGGAGTTACTCCAGGTTCACACTGACAAGAGAATTTTGCCTTGGGGCAACATATCCAGAGTTTTCTCTAGAGGAAGAGTAAATATTGCCATAGCTGTTTGTAATTGAAAGCACTAGGAGAAGACATTCATGAGGAAATGAAACCGTCTTCAGCTGTAGCAACAAAGATCCATGGTTGCTACAGATGGATGTCAATCACTGTAAGAGTGGGATCCATGACTGCTTAGTCTCAGGGCGTTGGGGGATGGCATTGTATTGCTCTTCTGCTCTTATCCGCAAAGCCAGCTGCTAACTTCAGCAAGCAGAAGAGGACTTTGACAAATTGCCTTTCTTCCAAATTTATCCATAAGCATAAGGGCAGTGGTTCCCTTACTGTCTTTTCAATTGGACAGAGACCTGGAAAATGAGGCTAGCGAGCATCTGTGCTGTTAAAGGTTGATTTCTTGCAGGCTTGCAAACAGGGAGACTTCTCAGCTCTAGGTTTTTTATGACTGGGGACTGGGTCTGGCCAGCTCTGTTAGCTGAAGACGCAATACAACTGATTAATGCCTGTTTTCCTACTTGATTTATCATAATGTTGATATCCAGGCTGCTGTCCTGCAGAGCAAAGACAGGGGCCCCGATGTTCTTGAGCAGCTGGGATTGCATCCGGTAGGAAGAGTTCACTTAGAGGTGAAGGATTCATACCATTTTATGCACTGAGGTTCATCTTGTTTTTCATTCTCTAGTGTCATGTTGCTAGAAGAGATTGTTTGAAGGCTTAAGCTCCTTGTATCAATCTGATGCCTCTGACTAGATTTTGGGTTTTGAAATTAATCTAAAAAATTATGCTTGTGAAGAGGGAGGGGTATTCTAAGGCAGATTTTAACAACGGTTTTGACTTGACCATTGGAGACAGGTAGAAAGCTTGAAGGTCACTACTGACTATGCTTCCACTATGGCACTGCACAGTCAACCGTTGCTAATGATCATTAGCATTTCCATTCTGTCAGTAAAGTAAAGCTCTTCAGTTTGATGATAGGTTTTATTATTGACTGGGACGCTTTTAAAATATCAGGGCAAAAATGACTGAGATGTGTCTGAGTGGGATCTGCCAAGCCATTGTGTTTTCAAATTATCACAGATAGCATCATATAGAAGGAAATAAGTTATTTATGATTTTACCCTTCCCGTTTGTGAACTGAACTGGCTACTGATATACACAGGGATGTCATTTGAAAAGATCGTCATCTGCACGGAGAGCTGACCTTTGAATACCAGCCCTCAGAAAAAGGTGTCGCAGGGTGTCATCCCTTGTCACCCACCATGAGATGAACACAGCAGATTCCTTCATTAGATGTTTTTTTTTATCACCAATTACTTTTGCCCTTATGAGAGATTTGTTTGCTGTTTTGGAACTTTTTGTGGTTGGCTTAATTTTTTAGTGCTTGAAATACTCTGTTTAAGGTGTTTGGGTCCCTTGCAAACAGACTGTATGGACAGGGTTAGGTATGCATTAGTATGCTGCTGCTTTCCATGAGTAATACAATTGTTGGAGTAAAGTCATTTGTCCTTCCTGAGGAAAAGCAGCAGCTAGCATGTAAATGAAAAGAGCAGGCTCCATGCCATCATGATCCCTAGTAGAAGCGTGAGATTTACCAATCCGCATTTGTCTAACAATGTTTGTTACTGTTATTTTTCTAGGGTGCAAGTGCTTACATTCTAAACTATTTTCTATACATTATGTGGGCTCTATGTTTTGCTTTCCTGGCAGTCTCCCTGGTCAGAGTGTTTGCTCCGTATGCCTGCGGCTCTGGAATCCCAGAGGTGAGTTTCTCTTTGTGGATGAATATCCAAAACCCAAGCAAAACAAAGAAAAGATAATTTGCTGCCTTTTCCCATTCCAGAACTGTACTATGAGATAGCATAGGAACAAGAAGATTGCCTTTCCATCTCATCTGCCTTCATTCCATTGTATAACATGCCTTTATGGTGCCCATCTAAATTTTTCATACTAGAAAATGTTCAGATGCCATCGTGACAGGTTAATGTACGTACTTCTTCATTGCCAGAGCTTGAATTAAAAATCAGCGTCTCCCAGTCATCATTTTATGGACTCCAACTTTTTGTGGTTGAGACACATGCTCACTAGAAGATTATATAGAATTTTCCTTGGATTAAATTAGTTGGACCAGTTACAAAAACAGTTATTTTCTAGGCTAGGCTTTAAATAAAACCAAAATAAATTAAAAAGGGAGGGATACAAAGCTAAGGTTTCCTAAGCTACTGAAAATGTGAGATGCCCATCATTTGGGATGTTGAAAAGCACCTGGCTGGCCATCTTCTGCAAACTGTGTCCTTATACACCATGTCATGCTGACATGACAGTATTATGGCAGCCAAAATCTCTACTTGGTTTTCAATATTTTACTTATTGAGCCTCAGTCCATATTTAAACTGTTAAAATGAGAAACCCTGTAATTCAAGCAGCATAGCTACTCAAAATTTTTGAAATCAGTGCAGTCTTTTGTTAAAAGTGCTATAGAAACACCAGGATTATTACTTAGGAATCTGGTAGACAGAATCAACAGCCCAAATTTTAGAAATCTTGGCATACTTTTTTTTCTTCATCTCTGGGAGAAGCATCCAAATGTTTCATAGCCAATCAGGAAAAAAACGCACCACAAATAATTTGAAATATTTAAATAATTTCCATGTTTCAAAATAGTCACATATGTGTGTTTGTTACATATTTGATATACCTCTCAGTGTTTTTAAAAGGTTTTCTTAGTTAACTGTAAATCTAGTTTCTGAATGGTAAATGTGTCATGTGAAGTGATGCTCAGCCCCTGCCTGTTTCCAGGGGTAGAGTCCAAACCCAAATCCCACCCTGCAGCCTGTGTGTCATGCACATGCATTGTGCTCTATTCTAGCTACTCACATGCAAAATTAAGAGGAAATGTGTAAAAATAAGATCTCTTGGACTTTTTCATTTCATAATACTTCCATGCTTTTATGGCATGATCATTCCAAATATTTAGAATTTTTTTTTTTTTTTTTTAACTGGGAAAAGTCTGTGGTTATTTGCTTTTTTTTCTGCTTTGTTAAAGTTGGATCTAAACTCTGATCCTGTAAGCCAAGGAGATATGTAACAGTTTTCTATTTCTATTGAGCTCTGTAAGACTCCTTACCGAAGCAGGGGACCACCCATAACAACAATAAAAGTGTGGTCTGCTTAACCCCTGCTTAGCTATCACTGTGGGAAAGTTGCCATACCTATGATTTCTTTCTCTCCATCACTGTCTCTTTTCAAGCAGTCTGCAATTTTAGTTTTTATTTTTTTAACGCCACTGGGGTTTTAACTCCATTTGCAAGTTCAGAGTAGAAAAAGTTTCTTCAGCTCTTCAACATATTCTTCCTGCTTTCCAGATAAAAACCATCTTGAGTGGGTTCATTATTAGGGGCTACCTGGGAAAGTGGACACTTTTAATCAAAACAGTCACCTTGGTTCTGGTGGTATCTTCAGGCCTCAGCCTTGGGAAAGAGGGGCCATTAGTCCACGTGGCCTGTTGTTGCGGAAACTTCTTCAGCAGCCTTTTCTCAAAGTACAGCAAGAATGAAGGAAAAAGGAGAGAGGTGAGGTTGGCTCAAATCATCTTGAATTTCCCTGTCCAGATACTCAGTTTTTCAAAGGGTTCATGCCTTGTATGTAAATATTTGTTTGTAGGTGCTCTCAGCTGCAGCCGCTGCAGGAGTTTCTGTTGCATTTGGGGCTCCGATTGGAGGCGTGCTTTTTAGTCTGGAAGAGGTGAGACCTGGCAGTCCACTTGCTCCAATAAGTATATTTTTGTTTGATACCTTTTTCTAAGATTCCTCTTTATTTTTCATATATTTATACGCTTATTTTTCTTCTAAAGCAAAAATAATCTTTGATTTCTAGTAATAAGAAATAACCAGGTATTTTAGCCTAACCTGAGTAAGAGGAGAGCACAGGCTTTCTGGAAACAAATAAAATTATTCAATCTGGAAATGTATCCCTGTGCTGAGGTTTCTCCAGCTTTCAGCTTGCTGCTGCATGGGCTGAGTTGTTGAGCATCTATCTTATCATCTCTTGCCAGCAACTCTGCTTTTAGATTTATTGACTTTTAACTGGTTGCTGCTCTCTATCTGAAATCTGAAAATGCCTTTTCTGATAGCTTTGTGAACACGTCCTGGCTGCGATAAGGACTAGTGCTCCCAGAAAAGTAAGACATAGAGTCACAGATGAAACACATGGCGAAGGCGATTAAAGCAAACGCTCTCTGTCAAACTCAGTGAAGTGTTTACGGGCTTTGCTTGGTTTTAGGTCAGCTACTACTTTCCCCTGAAAACCCTCTGGAGGTCTTTTTTTGCTGCTCTCGTGGCTGCCTTCACACTGAGGTCCATCAATCCTTTCGGAAACAGCCGGCTGGTCCTGTTCTACGTGGAGTACCACACGCCCTGGTACATGGCCGAGCTCTTCCCCTTCATCCTGCTCGGCGTCTTTGGTGGCCTCTGGGGAACCCTCTTCATCCGATGCAACATTGCCTGGTGCAGGAGGCGAAAAACCACCAGACTCGGGAAATACCCAGTCCTGGAAGTTATAGTGATAACGGCTATCACCGCTGTCATTGCCTACCCCAACCCCTACACTCGGAGGAGCACCAGTGAGCTGATCTCGGAGCTCTTCAATGACTGTGGTGCCCTGGAGTCCTCACAGCTCTGTGACTATATCAATGACCCAAACATGACCCGTCCGGTGGATGACATTCCCGACAGACCCGCCGGCCCCGGAGTCTACACCGCCATGTGGCAGCTCGCCTTGGCTTTGGTGTTTAAGATTGTCATCACAATATTCACTTTTGGCATGAAGGTAAATCGGGGACAGGCGCTGAAGCTGTCGCGAGCACAAAGCGCAGATGGGTTGCCATCAGCAGCTGCGGTCTATCTGGCGGGGCCTGTGTGCCTCTCACCTACGCCCAGCCACGAAGGTGTGGTTGAGATGCCTGCTGGTTTGCCTGACCACCAGCACCTTGCTCTGCGGGCCCCCGTCGCAGCAGAGGGATGAGCCCTGCTTTTCCACCTTCTAGTTATCTGCGATTTTATTAAGTGAAAAAGAAATCTGGGTGGGAATTTAAATCCACTGTTGCCAAAAAGCAAATTCAAAATGATTCCCACTGCAGCTGTCTTTGAGCTCTCTGAGGGATATGGACTATTTACATTGTTGTTTGTCTTGTTGGATTAATGTCTTAATGTGCCTCAAGGTAGCTATGCTCAGGGAAGTAATAGCTTTAAATTTACTGTTTTACACATTTAAAACCTCACAAAAATATAAAAGTAGCTGGAAAGTTCTATTTTTAAATCTTTTTAATAACTGCAGCTTGGAAAAAAGAGGGAATTAGCGGGAGGATTGATGGATGTATGGTTTGATTATTCTGGATTTACATCTTTTTCCTTCCACTCCTCCTCCTCCCCATAAATGGGTGCTGAAAGGTCCAAGAACAATTTATCCAAGCTTTCAATATATACAAAGCTGTTAATGGTGAGTTTTATTTATCTGATTGCTAGAGCTCAGATAAAACACATACCTGTCTGTCTACAGCTCCCATTATCTGAGCATTTAGTTCTGGATCTGATTGCAACAGACGATGAGAAGTTCTTCTGAGTTACACATTATATTTATGTATACACATTATATTTTCTATATATACTCAAAGCTAAAACATCTCATCTTTCTCTTAAACACTGTGCTTGAACTGAAGATCCATCTTTTAGAAGGTGTGTTACCTGAAATAATAGTAGGAAGTTATTGGAGTTTTGCTTTTCTTTCATATTTTTGCCATCTGATGACCAGAACTACCACATTGTAGAAAGTCACTCAGGACCAGTGACTGAGTCCTGCTGATCTCCTGAGCAGGGAGAACAAGCGGGAGTTTAAGAGCACTTGGATGTTGCAGGTGTGATATTTGTGGAGGAGGACTTGAACTGAGATGCCCTTTGCTGCAGAAACTGATTTATGGCTGGCAGCCAGTTGTTATGCTTGTTCATTTGTTTAAAAAACTTCTGAGTTTGGTTCTTTATTTGGTATGTGGTTCTTTATTTATTCTATATATTTAAAAATTGTTAGAAGCACTTGACAGTTTCAACTACTCTGTAAAAGAACAGACAAAATAGCTTTACCCACCAAATCTAGAAGACTCAATCTGACTGTATCAGCAAAATTAACACAATCTGGTGGGGGAGATAGTGCCTGCTGTTGTCAGCCCTAACACCTCTGGGCCATGCCGAGGTTGTTAGTTTAGTTCTCTAAGAAGCTCAAGTTGTATTTTCAGAATTAAAAAGATATAACAGCCTTTCCTCTCTGAAACCAGCAAAAACTCCATGCAAGACCTTGCCACAGATCTGAGTTGTCTCCTTCACCAGGAAATTTCTCTCCACCTTGCAGGTGTACTTGACATCTCAGAGGAAATACACTTAGCCAAGGCAAAGTGAATTTTCATTTTTTTTTTTTTTAAATTTCTCATTTCAGTACTGTTTTTTAATGATTTGTGACTTGTCTGTATAGCAGACAACAAGGTAATGATGCATAGAGCTTCCTGGGAAATATATAGCAAACTGAGATGAAGAAATAGCTGCCTCTGAGCAGTCAGACGCCTTTCTCTGAATTTTTATTCTGCATTTGGCATTTAATTTAAAACTGGTCTGACTTAGCCAGTCAGAGTATTAATGAAACTATAAAATATTCCATGTGATAGAGGGTGAAATCACAATGTTATTTTCAGTTAAACTTAATCTCAAGCCCATGACAGCACCATCAGCAGCTCCTGACTTCCTGTTAATAAAGGCAAAGCCAGGAGCATCTTGACTTTAAAAGCAGACTATTATTCAGAAACACCATTTATGTATCAAATTCAGTGTGATGCAGCAGGTAGGATTCAAAATTCCTTAAAAAAATGCATTAACATTTTATAAAGCTTTTAATACACATGTAGTCACACAAACTCAGTCACTGCAGAAACCTAATCTCAGACCATGGAGAACATCACTGTAGGCTGCCATAAGGCTATGGCCTTCGCAACTGGCATTTAGTAATGAAACTGGGTTCTCTTACAGCTAAGAATTTTTTTGATCAATAAGTTCATTACTAGTTATTTTTTCAAGGTGCTCATGTGTCTGTGTTTTATTCAAGATTCCTTCGGGCCTTTTCATTCCCAGCATGGCTGTCGGAGCCATGGCTGGCAGGATGGTTGGGATCGGAGTAGAGCAGCTGGCATATCACCATCACGACTGGATCATCTTCAGGAACTGGTGCAGACCTGGGGCAGACTGCGTCACACCAGGACTTTACGCTATGGTGGGAGCGGCAGCTTGCTTGGGTACAGTACCTGCTGATCATTGGTTCATGCATGAATAACACCGATGTTTGGGGACGTACAAACTGTTTATGAGGGCTTCGTGTTTGTGTTAGGTGCTATGCTGGCATTTCTGGATGTAACAGAGGTTGAAATCAAGATGTAATGGGCTGAAGCATGGGCAGCTTCCTCTAATGGTCTCTGAAGTGATCTGCCAGGTAGTCAGCAACAGAGAGGTCTGCAGTCACCAATGCCTACTCCTTGTAATGTGCCAAAAAGCACATAGAAGGAAAGAAAAAAAAAAAGAAAGAAAGTTAGGCTACAGGTTCCCAAGAAGGAGTGGGTTTTTTGCTTGTTTTCCCCCTTTTGATATAATGAAGTCCACTGTAGCTGGACTAAAGCTACTTCCTTGTTTAGACTGTGCTCTCTTTTAGTGTAGAGAACAAAATTCCCAGTTCTGTCTAAATTTTAAGCTACACAAAGGTAAAAATTCTGGGTCTTATGTTGGCTGTGTGTCACACTCTGGTCAACTGGGCTATCTTTTGGTTTTTGTTTTGACCATAGGCCAACATCTGATTATGTTCAATCAATAGGATTTATTGGATATAACAGGAATGATCTGTTAACTATTAAAGCAAGATTATTGAATAATACCTCACATATCAGATTTCTAGTCATAGATGCAACAGGAATGTTACAAGCATACCATTTTTGCCTTATCATATATTTCCCCTTCTGTAATTGAATGTTCTAACTCCTGTTGTTGTCATTGATACCGTCATTAGATGATGAAATTACAGTGGGGAGATGTAACACACGATTAATGTAACTGGGTAGATTTGAAATGAAAGATGTACTCAGAGAAGAGCTGGAAAAGTTTCGTTTCAGTGTCTCTTGTTAGAAAGGTAGGATCATTTGTGCGATCAGTTATAGAGGAAGGAAGGGTAGGATTTGCATGTCTGAATTTAATGTTTGTAATGTAGACATCAACATCTGAGCCAGCTGTGTTGATACCCTTCACAGTCAAAACAGAAAAATCAGACTCATCTGGCAATAGACATCTAAAACCAGGCAAATGAACAGATGAATTTGGCCTCAAAGGTGCATGTTTTTCTCCAGAGATTACAAAGGTAATCTGGATCACCCTTTTGGATGTGAACACCTGCAGCAGTGTAGACACATTCAAATAGCTAGGATGAATCTTACTGTCAAAAAGACTAAAGCGCTTCGTCTTGTTCATAAATTATCTTAATGTTCATAAAAGAAATGATACACAAAAAGTTTGCTCTGATATTCCAGTTGATCTGCTAGTCAACCATCACTTCCTATTTTAAAAGGTCCAAATCAAGGTGCAGTGATTTTAATAGTATGGTGAGACATACAGCAGAATGGTCTCTGCTTGTTCTTAAGCCCGAGACCTGCCTCACTTACAGTAAGATGTAGAGTAGGTACTAAATGATCCTTACTCTGGTGTCTGCTCTCAGCTTTTCAGAGTCAGAAGTTTAAGGCATTCCTCAGATGAAAGTCATATCCGGATCATCATGTTAAATAATCAACAATTTAATTTTCCTGTATGTTGCTAGATTAAAAGCATCTTTTAATGACGTGTTTCTGATTTCTCTCATCTAAAATGGTGCTGTATTTTGAGGCCTAAAAATAGCAGAGTTATTATATTTACCTTTTGAACAGAGGCAAAGAAATGTTACCTAATAATTCAGTGATACATACACACTTGTCTGCAGTTATGTGATTATTTTTATCCTTTAATGTAAACTGAAGGACTAAGGAGCTTGCTTATGAAATTAATACAGAAAGACTAGATGGAAAAATACAGCTACGACCCTGTCCACGGCTGCATGTCTAGATGGCCTCAACCAAGCTGTATACAGTTCAAACTGTATGTTATCCTGATAACAAAAGCTAGGGCTTAAGCTGTAATGCAGCTCTTGCAGTGGCCTCAAACTATCCTTACATAATATGTTGTAACTGTGGTGTGCTCAAAGATAATGCTTAGCTTTCTCTTCAGTATGAATGTGATCATAAGCCAACGTGAAGGCCAGCTCTCAGTGTCCCCAGCGCTGTGCTCCCACCTGCCCCAGCCACGGTACTTAGCTGATTCTTGGAGTCATTTTAGAGGGCTAATGCCAGGATTCAGTTTTAGTTTCTTGAGTATCCAGTATAGCTGATCTTTTGGCATGCTTTCTGCTCAGTCTTTTAGCATTCTTACTTGCTTTTCAATGTTAGCATCTTTGGCTTGAGCAAGTTCACTCAATCTTTTTGATAAAAATTGCAGTAGATGAAAAATCTCTTTCTTCAGTGAAAAAAGCCCCAAAATACTTCACAAAGTGTAAGGGCAAAGTACTTGGCATGAATAATCTTGTGCCTTTTTGAGTGCAAGACTGAAAAATATAAATTAGTTGCTTAGTATATATACTTCAAGAGCACTGAGGGAAACTTGACTGCTTTCCTTGTTGGCAGGTGGTGTGACCCGAATGACAGTCTCTCTGGTGGTGATTATGTTTGAGCTAACTGGAGGCCTGGAGTACATCGTACCTCTTATGGCTGCAGCTGTTACAAGCAAGTGGGTGGCAGACGCCTTTGGGAAAGAAGGGATCTACGAAGCTCACATTCATCTGAATGGCTACCCATTTCTGGATGTGAAGGATGAATTCACCCACCGAACTCTGGCAACAGACGTCATGAGGCCAAGGCGTGGTGAAGCTCCTCTCTCTGTTCTCACGCAGGACAGCATGACGGTGGAGGATGTCGAGACACTAATCAAGGAGACTGACTACAATGGCTTCCCAGTAGTGGTTTCAAAAGACTCGGAGAGACTTATTGGATTTGCACAGAGACGAGAGCTGATTCTTGCAATAAGTGAGTAGAGAGTATCGGTGTACATATGTTTGATTTTGAAAGGGTAGGATGTTACCAGTGTTACTCATCTTGAACAATGGATAAATAAGAACGAAACCTAACTTTTCCCCCAAGTCTGGCTTTTACTAGTTGCTTGGACCCATAGCTAGAAGCTTTTCTATTTCAACATACCACCTGGTAGACTTCTGTGGGCTTGACTTTTGTGGGCTTAATTTTGTCATCACTCACAACAGTAGAATACAATTCTGCTAGAGACAACAAAGGTAAACCCGACTCATATGGCCAGAAGCTTTGTCAGAACCAGATGAAAAGCCACCGCAGTGCTGAGCTTCCTGTAGTATCCATTGGCCGCCGATAGCAGCGGGGGCAGTTGTGAACTTTTGTCACCCTGTGATGAAGTGTAAGTCCCTGTGCTTCTTTCTGCTGCACTATCTCAGTTTTTCTCACGAGCAAGCCTTTTGCGCTAGGGGTGGAAATCTTTTCAGTGGAGGATGTTGCTTGGTAAAGATGGTTGAGTTTGTCAAGCATCCCATGGATAGCTAGCTGATTGCCTGAGAACCTGATCTGGGTCATTACAGGTTTTAACCCATCAGGTCCTCTCCTGGTTGGCCTGATGGCTAGGGAGGGATTGATTAAGGACAGGTATATTGGATGAAAGCAAGTGTTCCCACCTTCCCCGTACCCAGAGCATCCAGAGGTGCAAAGTCTGAGAGCCTGGCAAATCAGCTCCATGGCTTGCTCCCAGTTCTGGCAGTCCTGTGGTGCTGAGGGCCAGCTGGGCGGGCAGGCAGGCAGGCTGCTGGCTGGGCATGGTTGCCTTATGCTTTGCAGGGGAGTGGAATGTCTGGCATATCCAAATCTCCATGACATGGAATTATTCCTCTCTGCATGGGCCTGTTTCATCCCTCTGCTTCGGGGACCTTTAAAAAGCTGTTGTCTCAGATGGAAACTCCCATAGTCTTTAGAAAAGAAAATCCATAAATGGAAAATCAGGGCTATTTTAGAATTTAGACTTTCCTGCTCACTTCTCACAAAGCTAAAAAAAAATTTGAAATAACAGTGCTCTTTAAAGCATGTGTTTTTTAAATGCATATTTATTTTAATCTCCTGGACGTAAAAAGACTCCATTTAAGTGATTATACCTAAAATTTATATTAATTTATTTAAGGATACTCAGCTGTTACTTGATTCCCCTCTTCTCATCCAATAGCAGAAAATCATCAATGCTGCATCAATACTACTAGAAGAAGAAGAAGAGAAATGACAGAGCTCAGTTTTCTCCCCTTAAATTGTAGTGTGGAATTCTCTTCAATAAGAAATAATTTTCTCATTTTTTCCCTTCTGTGATGTGAGTTATTTCAGTTGGAGAACTGAATTAATTTTGTATTTAGTTATATCACTAATTTCTCAAAACACAGGAAAGCAGAACAGGCCTTACTGCTAGTTCTACAGCTCCTCTAACTGTGCAATTGTAATTTAACTTCCAAGGAGTGTGGGAATCTAACTTTTTCATTAAAAGCCTACTATGACTGGTTGCTCCTTCCTCCCTGCTCCAAAATCAAGCCAAAAAAAAAAAGAGAAAGTCTCCATGAAGTTATAATCCTCTCTATACCAGTCTCAGTATAAGAGGATTTTAAAAACACCAAGATGAAATTCAAGGCTGCTAGCTGCAATACCCCTTCCAAACAACTGATTTTCTCAGAGGCTAATCTTCTTTTGGTAGTAATAAAAGATGCCTTGTATGGCAAGCTAGGATTGTAAATATGTGTCTGAAGTTTCACCAAACGTGTAAATGCCAAGAGCTGATACTGTTTATAGAATAGTCTATATTTTATCCTGCTTTTGCTAATGATTTTAAAATATGTTCTGCGTTCCCCTGTGAGAAATAAAAAACCCTAATTAGATGTATTTAGCCTACCCTGTGTCTGGCGTTTACAGTGTCTGTACCATGTTGTGGCTGTAACACTTGTTGCCATCCTAACTTTATAGCTGTTTGCACCCTCTTTGCAGGGAGGCATGTCGGTGGGAAAATTGTGTGAAGATGCAGAGCCCTGACTTTACAAGCAGAAAGATCAGACGCTGTCCAAAGCAAGTCAGAGAATTTTGAGGAAATAAGTCTTTTGATTCAGGCCATAAATGGCGACATGGCTGAAAGGGCTTGCTAGAAGATGTGTGAAAATGTCCAGCGATGCACTGATAACAAAGAAATCAGTTGAAAGTAAACTCAGCAGACATTTTAGATCAAAAGGCTTTCCTGTTCGAAAACCGTTTCTTTGATATCCACATTTTCCACAGGAAAATGTGCTGTTTCCTGATCAGCTCTAATTAAGAGCATCTTCATAGGATCTGACGCAGAACTGAGATTTAAAATAAAAAAACTTCTCTGCTTAGATAGGTTTTCCTAAAATCCTCAGCTGTCAGGGACCTTTGGTGACCATTTTTCTCCTGGGTTGAGTATGACAGCTCCTGATGTCATTCTGTACTGACTCTGTGATAAATGGTTAATCTTTCCAGTATGGTTTGTGTCTTTGTGACATCTGTATTTGGTTTCACTTTTCCAAAAGACATAGTTTATGGTTCCATTACAGGGCAGGGCAAAACACTGGTTTTGTACCATGCTACCAGCTTTTTGATAGCTAATCCTCTTTCACTGAAGGCCAAAGTGTCTTTGCATTTATGGCAGAAGTCACTGCTCTCCATTACCACGGAGTAGCTAATGCATTGCAAACCTCCGCCTCATCTTACTTTATAGTTGTGTTCATGGAGCCATACACTAAGTCTCCTTAAACTATGAAATCGCTTTCCAAGAGGTAAACATCACATGAGGTGAAGCATCTTTTGTTCTTTTGTTCTTCTGTTCAGGTTCTTATCTCTTGCTCAGCCTGCAAGCATCCAGAGATACTGGAGTTTTGTTTGGGGAACAGTATAAGCCTGTCTGCTCAGCCCTGCAGCCAGGGAATGAGGTCTTCTGAAAAGCAGTCAGGCCCACACCACTACCTCTTCTTTCACTGCATTGTGCCCTGCAGAATACTTCCTCAGTTTGAACTGGCCTTGATAGCTCTATATGATGACATGTTATACTATGTAGAGACATGTTTTCAACCAAGAAGCTTCAACTTCTTTCTCTGGCCAAATAAATTGTGCATCAGCAGTGTGGTGGCCCATGGAATACCCTAGGGAAGTACTCTGATTCTCTTGCACAACTGACTTCATGGATAAAGGCAATAGCTGTTGAGTTCCACATCAAATACCTGTTCACACACAGCTCTCTGCCTTGTGATTTACCCCTACGTCATTTCTGTCTTATTAAACGGAGCACTAAGCACACTCTGGAAATGCATCCAGTCCTTGTGAAGTGAATGGCAATGCCACTTCCGATTGCTCAGAAGCACCTTCAGGAGGATTGCGTCCTTCCACTGGTCCTTGTCGAGCAGGCATGCAGGTCAGGCAGCCAGAGTCAGCGGTGGACACCCTCAGACGTGTCTACATTTTATATGGCACCTACTTTACAGTCTTACAGAGGGGAGTATTTGACCTTGTAAAGCTCTTCTTAAATTTAGCCAGCTTCAGAGGCATCGTACACAAGGCAGAGTCTTGGACACAAGCCAGGTGGTCTGTATAATGTACTTTTCCTAGTGTGGAGTTGAGAGCACAACATAGTTAATATAGGCTGTGAACTGTGAACTCCTGAATATGAGAGGCTGTTTCACATTTGGGAGAACTAATTCACTCTCTAGCTATGACAAGAGCCTTCTGCATAGATTACTCTGTAAAACCAGACATCATCATCCATTTGCTTTGCTCTTTCTGTTAAGCTATATCTGTTTTTCTTACCCACTGACTGCAAAAATGATATGTTCGCCTGTTTTAGTTTTAACTCCCCCATCCATTGAGACGGCAGAGAAAGTCCACCATTTTTCTGATGCCACTGAATTTGCTCAATAGTACTACATCATTCAAATTTCTCTAGAGAGATGTTTGACTTTGAAGAGTGAAGTCATGGCTTTGGCTAATCACTGTTGTCCAAGGTCATTGCTGCCTTGGGAACAGCAATGTGGTAACTGAAGTGCTTGGGCCTGTTGCTCTGGGTGCAGCTTTGGGAAGGAAATACCTAGCTGTCAAGGGTTTTTATCAAAGGGTAGGAGTTAGTTACCCTCAGTTTGATTAATGATGTCACCTCTTACCACAGATCATGTATCAAAGAGCTATGCAGGCATGTTCACACTTGAAATTAGATGTATGAATCAAAACAAAGACAAAGTTAGCATGATTCCTATAAATTGCAATAGGGCTTGTAATATGCGGGGTGAGAAGGTTGAAAATCATATACTGTACTGATATTAGGTTTGAGCCAGCACTGCTCCACTTCCAGAAATATTACAAGACAATGATCATTAAAGGGAAAAAAATGCAGCTGGAACATGTTGGAAACCATTACTGTCTATACATTACAAGTCACAGGAGCAGGTTTCTGCACTTTGATTGATGGCAATGAGCTCCAAGAATATATACATATGCCTTGAGTATGTCTGATTTGCTATACCTCTCAAGAACAGAAGCAACCTATATTAATCAAAGATAATAATTCTAACCATTTCCAAGAATTTATACAAAAAAGAAAAAACAAAGAAGAAAGAGTTAAACCCTCAGAGCCAAACACATGATATGCTTATTCTGAGGAGGGAGAAGTTGTCTATCATTTGGAAATCCATCTCATATATTGGTCGCACCCTGTAGTGTTGAGTAGAAATGAGGTAAACACTACAAAGAAAATAAACCACGTCAATGCTAAGAATTCTTGTTGGAGCATACTTTAAAGTAAAAGGCTTATACTGATCATGTAAATTCCAGATGCAGTGTAAAGTTCACTTCATAGTTTGATCAAAGTATGAATGATAGCTTTTGAACTTTTGAAAGCAGTCAAATATGTACTCTTGAGAAAAATGTATCAAACTCATTTACTGCTATATATTGTTCCTCCCTTTACTATTTTCCTTTAAGTAGGATGCTAATTTTTTCTGCCATTTTAAAATACAGATAAGGAAACTCTGTTTAAGGACTTAAGTGCAAAACCACAAAATTCACCTTGCATGCAGAAATGTGTGCCGGTCTAGAATGACACCCACACCGCCTCCATATCCCTGGG